TTCAGAAAACTGCATATATTGACTCACTGGGGTTACTGAGGTTTGGGGATCAGAAATTCAAAAGCCGAAGTGATTTCTTCACACAGCCACAAATAAAACATTCCAAAAAATTCCTGAATTGGTGGTAATACTGTAGAAGTTGAGAATATCCCATCAGTCATCAATCGTCTTCATCATCAGCTGGCACAAATATTTCATTATCCCTCAGGAACTGCGCTGCTACCTTTGCCAAATATGCTCCAAAACCAACCGAAGAGGTTGTGACAGCAATCAACTGCAATAACAAAATCAAAATCAGAAATCCAAATCTATCGGAAGTATTTCATCACAGTTTTAACAAACTGGCACTTTTGCACTACTAATTCATTAAATAATTTGAAACAAACAAACAAAAATCAAGTTTAAACCCCTACCATATCCTGACCTTCCACTTCAAATTCAAATTTAGGCTGTTTGCAGTTTAAGAAATCCAAAATCCTGAGGTTTTTAGGTTCAGTACCTTAAGCCCGAGTGAATAATTCGAGAACAATATTCTGAATCCAGTGTTTTGTGCTCTATAAATTTATACCAAAGAGTATCATGGATCAAAAAATTCTTTGCTTTTTAAGCACTGTGGAAGTAAAAAGATCATGATGATACGACCAGATGACGCAATTGCTTATCGCAAAAATGCATGCCACGCCGACGCACCGACTAATTTTCTCCCATCCCCCATTCCGCCTGAAACCCTCTGGTTTTTTGATCGGCAGTATTCAAAGCACTACACATCAAAGATCGAATTTCGGGGCACATTAACTCCATGCACAATATGAATCAACAATGTATCAATTCGGGCAAAATGCTCTCTTCAGAAAGAACGGGTGAGCTATTTTGAAACAAACGAAGCAAGCAGAGCGGCAAATTTAAAGTCAATTTCCCCCTCATCTGTCATGCCTAGTTTAATAGGATATGCCAGTACAATTCATTCACAGCATACAAATAATTGATTTTCCTTCCCGCACTCCATAGCTTTGTCCTTCTTTTCCCTCTTCCTTGGTCAATTACCTTTCTTGGAGATGTAAGTGACCAAGGAAGAAGGAAAGAGACGGTTCTTTTGGGCCGATTTTTTGAGTTTTGGTCTTAAAACTTCTGC